CATTGGCTGACCCATATACTTCGAGGAATGCAATGGGAGTAATAAAACTGGAGAGTGTGCTCAACAAAGAGTGTGCAGTTTTTTTTTCAAGGGCAAGTTTTCCATGTGCCTCACAGCAAGGAGATCGTGGGTTCAAATCTGGCCGGGGGCCTTTCTGTGTGGTGTTTTCATGTTCTGCCCGGGTTTGTGTGGGTTTCCTCCAGGTACTCCGGTTTCCTACCCCAGTCAAAAGACTTGCATGTCAGGCTAATAGAAGACTCTCTGTAGGTGAGAGTGAGTGCGTGGATGGTGTGTGAATGGCGTGTGTGCCCCGCAATGGATTGGCAAGTTGTCCAGGGTGTGTTCCTGCCTTTTCGCCCACTGTCAGCTGGGATAGGCTCTAGCTTCCCTGCGACCTTAGTGAGGAAGAAGCGGTATAGATGATGGATGGATGGAAGTTTTCCATGGATTCATAGTCGCACAAGGGTGTGGCAATTGGGTTTAATGACTTTTGCATCAAATTAGCTCAGAGGCAGCAAATGTACTCTTTGTTTAGAGCTGCATTGTACAATTGTACATTGCAATGTTGACATTCAAAGGTGTGTGAGAGTGTGATTTTTTTGTGCGTGTGTGTGTGTGTGTGTGTGTGTGTGTGTGTGTGAGCATGTAGGAGTTGGAGTTTATTTATTTAAAACAGGGACAATGCACAAATAAACATTAATCTTGTGGAACAAGAGAAGATGTTTTATGCCAGGTTATAGCAACACTTGCTAGTTTCCACCTGCAGTCCCAAATAAATTATTGTTTATGCAATAATATTAACCGTTGACAGCCAAAACTAGCAATTTTACCAGATTGTACAGGACCTTGTGATGCTGTGCCTATTTGCATATTAATGAAAAATGGGCTGCTTATCGCTACAGTTCTCATGTAGCTCTGTAGCTAGCTAGCTGGCTACCGTAGACATGAAATGAAATTACATGCAAGTTACATTAGTGCAGTATACTTCAATTGAGCCAGAAACATAAAACAAACATTGCTAGCATAACTAGTGGTGAAATAGAGTCTTTATCAGGCTTTGACTGAATCGCTAATAATTTTATTAACACGCTAGCTAGCTTGTTTGGCATGCTAGTAATGTGAAATTCTACAGGATTATACAAGGCCGTATGATGCAGTGTGTTTTTACATGTATTATTTCAGTATGATACGACGTCACAGATTCAACCAAATTTCAATCTGCACTAAATCTGTTATTACGCAAAGTTTGAAGGTTATGGCTAGTATTATTCTTGAGATGTTGATCATTAAAGAATCATTACGCTCACTCACTCACTCACTCACTCACTTCCATTTGGCCATATAAGCCCGCTATCGAAGGGAATAGGCTACAAACTGCCAATAATAGCAAAAAGTGCAATTCAGCAAGGCCTTTGGTTTTATATGCAAAAGCGACAACCACAGGACTACTATTGTAATGTAATGAAGAATTAATACTTTGTTAAAGTACTTATCTATTGTAAGTGTCTGGGCATTACATTACATTTCGCTCACAGGCATGCATGCTCGTCTGATTTAAGCATCACATGCAATCCACTCATCACTCCACACGCAGGGAACAAGGGCTAACAGATGAAACAGGCCTTGTAATGGAAGCAGCAATAGCATTGTCTAGCAGCTCTGACACTGCCTTGAAACATTGACTGTATAAAACAGTCAAAATGGATGCATGCGAGAAAGGAGCACTCTAAGTTCTTTGTGCTCTGATTTGCTTTTTAAGCAGCTGTTGTCAAGTTGAATGTGGTTTCTGGCTGCTGCTCTGGGACTCCTCTGTCTTGCGTTCTTGACTCCTCCCTTCTCCCAGCCTGTGTCTGCTCTAATTGGCTGTAACTCATTGACGGCTCCCTGACAAATCCTCAACCCTGATACAAACCAGGTATGTTGCCTGCTTGAACTCTTGCTGGCATCTGGAAGGCATTTGCAAGCTCTCTATGAGCACTAGGGTGACATGTGTAAGCAGTATGCACCTAGCAATTATGCACTGATTCCTGAACACTGAGCAAACTCTGATTTGCCTCTGATCTGGGGTCTTTTGTTAACAATCTCCAAAAAACGCCAACGAGTGGAAAATCAAGGCTGTAATCTGGTATTGTGAACTCGGCACAAGTGTTGGCAGAAAGCCGTCCAAAAGTCAGTTGAAGCGAGTGGTATTTGGTTCACTGTGACAGCTGTGAGCCTGTGACAGACCTTCTTGATGAAAAAATAGCAAGCTAAATTAATTCAATGTGGTCACTGAATTATTTCAACGGTTTGTCATCCCAAGAAAATCATTTGTAAGAAGGCAAACTTACGCTCAGTGATGGCACTAAATTATTAGATCATCTCAGTCTCCTGTCTTTTCAGTTCAACCCAACTCAGTGGCCAAAACTTCAATGGTCACATATTAGCTAACCTAATAGCCCCCAAGCATAACTGCATCATAAGGTTGTTTATTGCAGTGCATTGTGGGGCGAACTCGGGGTTGGTGGGGCAGAAAGGCAGATATCAGATTAGTTTTTCCTGAGAGTGATATTAGAGGAGCAATATTACCATGCCCTGTTGTGGAAGATAACAAAATAGGGCATTTAAAGAGGTGTATAATATGCTGAATGTTCACGGAGGGAAAATCTGAATCCAACTCGAGCTTGGTGAGAGGGTTAATGACAAGAATACACACAAGCTGTTATTTTCGTCAGATGTTGATGATTGCATTAGCTTTAATTAAAAAAATGTATGTGAAGATCTGGAAGTGTATCATCTCAGAAATTGGCTAGCCACTTGTAATGTTTATTGCATTAATAAGTGCTTTGATTTTAAACTGAAAAATGTTTAGCCTGGTATATGTAATACAGGTGTGGTTGATGCTACATTCTTTGTTAGGCCTACTGTCAAGTATGACAGAACCTTAGTGACCCATTTGTGGCAGGTCGAAGGAGGGCCCGGGCGGGAATTGAACCCCAGACTCCCGGGTAAGAGTCACTCGGGCTGACCACATCGCCAAAGAGCCAGGCTCGTTGGCAAGGTAGCCAGGGCGTGTACTTATCAGGAGGCATTTCTAGTGACGGGACCCGTCAACTGTCACACATATTTACCGCAAATTGTATGTAACCAGCATGCTGAGTAAGTTGTGTTTTTACTTACTGCTGTCACAGATGAAAACTTAAGATCTTGCGATAACTAACCTATCTAGCAATGGAATTAGTTTGCAGTAGCCTGACAAGGCTAGGTAGTGGCTAAAACTGAGATGAATCCATTTTTACAAATGTTCAACAAATTGTAGTTATTTTCTCATAAATAAGTGTTATTTTCACTATTTTGGGCTGCAGTCAGGCAGCTGCTCTATTGTTTAAAACTGAGCAAAATATATGTGACGATGGGCAAAATAAAGAAAGCAAGCCCTTCTGTAGCCTATATGTAGCCTATATTATTTTTATGGAATAGTATTGTTTCAAAAAAACAGTTTGGGGTTTTTGCTATTGTCATTCGGACAAACAGCAGCACAATATGACGTTTATTTTGGTAACACCTCAGTTATGCCTTCATTTACTTGCTCTTACTTGAGTTTCCATTCTAGTCTTAATAGTCTTACTTTGCTTTTCCTATTTCCTATTCCTTTAAGATTTTTTGCCACCACTTCCATTTGTGATGTAATCTTAGCCATTTAGTTGTCTAGTCTATAGACTGGACTATATCCGAGAACTTAAAGTTACTGCCTCTTTTCTGGTGAATGCAGACTTTTGAATTGGAATGGTGGTGAATTGAGTTCTCAGGTCTGTGGAAAGGAAATACATTAAAATTGTCATATCAGTATTTGGGTTGCTGTCGACAGGTGCTGGTATTTTGATAAACTTTGTGGTATTGGTGTTCAGTGTCCTTTTAGTGAAAAATTGCAATGGATTGGTGATCCCACTCAATGACTAAAGGTGTATTATCCTGACAATTACAATTACCTCATCGAGTAATATTGAATTCTGTCATCCATGACTTTCTTTCTGTCTACAGATATATATAACTTAGGGCTGTCAACTTTTTAAAATGGCTTCGAGTGAGGTTTTTGGTTAAGGTCAGGTCAGGGGTATTTGCCATTGGAGTTAGGTGGGGGGCGGGGTCTTTATGGCAACAAATACTATCTAGCTGTCATGTGTTCCAGTGACCTCCTTGCATTTTCCAGCAAGACAACACTGGACCAATATTGCACAGACTTCCAGAGAATGGCTGCAAAAGTGGGTGCTGGATTGGATTTCATTCATTCATTCATTCATTCAATCTTTATGTCGACTAGAAAATTGAGGGCAAGCCCTCATTTTCAATGACGTCAAGCACATACATTTAAAAAGCAATAAATATAGTAGATACAATACAATAAATGTAAATTAAAATTCAAACTGTGTATTTAGTTAAAACAGCTGCTGGCTACAGTGGAATGATTTTTGATCAGAGATTTAAACTGACTAAAGGACATCAAAGTGCTGAGTTTCGGAGTTTTTTTATTAGGTGTTCCACATATCAGGAGCACAGAAGCTGAAAGCAGATTTCCTAAATTTTGTAGAAACTCTCAGAACTTTCAGTTTAAGCCATTCATTGGAACGAGTACCGTGAGATTCGGAAGCCCATATTATTTATGCCTCGCGGTCAGAAAGTCTACAAAACTTTGATCACATGCCATGTGCTCAGCTACAAATGTTTCAAAGGATTGCCTGAAAAAAAAAAAAAAAACTGGCAAACAGTTCTGGAACCGACAGGTTTTATTTAAGTGATGTATAGATTCAACAGGACAGGCAGTAATCATGCTTGGGTCTGTCAAAAGAAATATAACCAAATTATCGATTAAATTTGTCATCTTGGTTGATTTAGTGACTATAGTCACTAAATAGCTTTTTTCCTTCAATGAAATCATCATTTAAAAAACTGCATTTTGTGTTTACTCGAGTTACCATCATCTAATACAAAAATTAGTTTGATCTTAAACTTTTTACCATGGCGGCTTGAAGGTGCAGCAGGTAGCACTGCTGCCTCACAGCAAGAAGATCGTGGGTTCGAATCCGGCCTGGGGCCTTTCTGTGTGGAGTTTGCATGTTCTCCTTGTGTTTGTGTGGGTTTCCACCGGGTACTGTGGTTTCCTCTCACAGTCCAAAGACATGCATATCAGGCTAACTGCAGCCGCTAAATTTCCCATGGGTGTGAAAGTGAGAGTGAATGGTCTGTGGGTGGTGTGTGTGCCCTGGACTGGCGAGCTGTCCAGGGTGGGTCCCTGCCTTTCGCCCATAGTCAGCTGGGATGGGCTCCAGCTCCCCCCGCAACCCTAGTGGGTAAGAAGCAGGTATAGAGAATGGATGGATAAATAAGCATTTAAGTGTGCAAGTTTGCAATAAATAAATAAATAAGGATGGGGCAAATGCGTTTTCAAAGCAGTGTTAATGATCATAGAGTTTCTACAGGTTGACAGCAATCAGTAACCGACCCACAATCAGTATAGTTCCCACAGTTCAGATTGAAATGCATGAGTGAGTTTGGAGTAAGGCGAGTATGCAATGAGTATTAATGTATTTGTGAATCTGAATCTTTCATATGGCACTTCACTTGGATGTTTGTCCAATGCCTGATCTTACTGAAAATCCAGGTCTCTGATAATGGAAATGTGAGCCGCAGGTCGAGTCTGTGTAACAGATTAATAATGATCGTATAACAGTCTCTCTGCTGATCTGCTTTTGGCTTTGAGTCCAGGAAAACAGGATTTAGAGCAAAGGTGTCCCGTGGGACCTTTAGGGTACATCCTGTTTCAGGAAGAGACACCTTCACTCCCTGGTCGACCATTCACACAGCAGCAAAAGATTCTGGGTAAAATTTAGGAGGGGTAGAGGTAAGGGAGGCAGGATACAGTAATTGAGCCCATCTGCAAAACATCGTCCACAACCCAGAAGTTATTGTTATCACATATTTTAGCATGCCAACATGATGAGGAAGAAAGCATGTATAGTGAAAGGGTTTTTTAAAGAGTCTGAAGCATTTGAGCATTGGTTCTCCTTCAGCAGCTAAGATGTAAGGTGTGATAAAATACAGGAAATATATAATATTTTAATGATAATTTTCTGAAATAATTACCACACAGTGACGTAAAATACTTGAGCTCCACACATGCAGAATATAAATTTAACTAATAACTAATATGAATCAAATCTGGAGCTATTCTATACACACAAATAGGCATTTCAGGAAATTGCTAATGCAGATATTACTTGACCAGTCACTCTAATAAAGTCTAGAAATTTGAACTGCAGCCAAATGACCCTCACGTAGCCATTGGCACAGAGAAGTGTCCCTTTCCTTAAAAACTGCGAATGAGGTGTGCGGTGTCCTGTTTGTAGAGCAGGTGATTGGCTTGGGGTGGGGGAGGTAACGGGGGTCACATCCTTCCTGTCGCTGTTAGGAAGGGAGCCGAATTTTAACATTTCCTGTCACATCCAAGGCCAAGCTTTAAGAACAGTGGAACATTCCTTTTGAAAGGAATGTTTCCATGGAGCTGCGCTACCTGAGGGTCCTGCAAGCTGCCAAAGAGGTGAACCAGGAGTCCGACAGAATGAAACAGCACATGGCTGTGGTGTTTCAGTCTGAAGTGTCGTGTCCAAGCCGATCTCTACCGTTTTATATGTTCTTATCAGTTACAATGCCCGCCAAATATGAAATCTTTCCAAAAAAAAAAAATTGCATTCACTGTTTCATGGTCAGTTCATTGCTATTGGCAATTTTTAATCCACACAGGACCATGATCAACATTTTTCTGTGTTCAATTTTTATGACTTGTTGAAAGGACATGTCTAATGTTTTTCACAATGCTGAAATTCAAATAATGAAATTTACGCAAATATTCAAAACCTGAAAAACATTAATAAGGACTATTTGAATAAATCCCCTATGAATTTCATATTAATTTGTCAGCCAAATGCTGTTTGCCTGACATACGAATTATTTTTGGTAAAAACATTCCTGTAATTTTAATAACCATGAAGAGCCAAATTGTTAAGTCTGCTAGTCACAAAAATATCATGCAATGAATAAATGAATGAACAAATGAATATATACATCAATACATTTCATCTTTCTATAATTTGATGTGAGTTATTTGTTCATCTATTCATAATTTTCTTGATCTCAATCATACATTTATTGTTGAAGAATTATCCTAAATGTGAAAGAGCAGTGAGAAATTGGCCAAAGTAGCCTCATGAGATGAACTCAAGCTGAATTCCCTAGAAAGAATCAAAATGGCAAAATTAAGAGACAATAAAATTGAGTAAAAACTAACGAACCTGACATCGCTTCTCAGCTACCAGGTCATGTGACGTTTGAGAAGGGAAGTAGATGACGATGGGTAACTTCCCTTCTGCGGAAGGAGCCACCTCAAAGGAAGCGTTACATCCGAGTTTTGATTTCCTCTTTCCTGGAGTCAAGCCAGCTTCGGCTGCATTTCCAGAAAATCGTCACTCTGCCCCCATCATGCAAGATCCTGCACAAGAAAATGCAACATTCCCAGGATTCCATTATTAAAAAACTAAAAAAAAAAAAAGAAGCTTTAGGTGAAATAGAATAGAAATCAACCCGCAGATTGTAGTTGAAACAGTATTAATCTGACCCTGACTCACAATGACTTTTACTGAACTGTATCCATATCATTATGGTAACATTAGCCCTTATGAGTAGATGGCTGATTTAGCGACAATTTTATTCAAAATTTGACTGGTATTTTTCAAAATGCTTAAAAGTCATATATGGGAAAAAACATTTTATTGCACGTGACATCACATTTATGCAGCATACTTTATTTACTATGTGTATAGACCCAATGAAAACAATATCTACAATGTGTTTATAAGTATTATAAATTTTGGGGATGGGTGTATTTGCTCTCAATGTCTGGGCAATGTACAGACATTATTCTAAGGGTAAAAGATTCACAAGTGAGGCTTGAGAACTCCAATCTCAGTATAAACAGCTGTCAGAGCTAATGCAGATCATGACTGTGAAATAATTGATTATTTCCTGAATTCCTGTCTGGTCTCAAAAGTGTTGAGCAAGGTCTGTAAACCTTTATCTAAAAATTTCAGAGGAACTATAAACAAAGCAAAGCAGCTGATGAGGCAAAGTCAGATATTGAGTAAATAATTTCAGCACCACAGTGTCTGATCCAATATCACAAGACTCCCTGAGATAGTGTTTAACTCACCGAAATGGTTCAAGGCAGTCGGCTTCTTGAAACCATTTCAGTAAACAGACTACTTTGTCACATGCTGTAATGCATCACTACATTCACAACAAGACACAAATGGTATGGTGTCATTTTGCAATTAATCTTGTGAGCTGAGCTGCAAGAAGCAGATAAGGAAAAACATTTCCATATCATTTTAGCCCCAAACTGGTCATATGCACTCAGACCCAACCGAAGGCTTACGAATTGATAATTTCAGAAAATAAGATGACTCACTATGACAATCTCGGAAGTCAATACCTTGAACAACAATGCCGCTGCGCTCGCAGAAGTGATGTATGCGGGTTGATACTGGGCCTTGCAGATGCAGCCCATTCTCCATTGAGCCGTTATTAATAGTGTCGAGATCTTGCTCTGATTTGCTCAAAAACGAAGGGGAAGAATGCATGGTGTGCTTGAAGGACAGATTAATTTTCTGTGTGTAAGTGGAGGTGGGGGAGGTGAGAAAAACAAAGACGCGTGGTGTGTAGACATCCTGTCAGCTGCAGATTACTTCATTTTGACATGGATCCTTTGTCCGGTACTGACTGGGAGGCCCTGCCATTGAGCATTCAATAGAGGTCAATCTTTAGCCTTACCTGTGCGCTTACACTGTCTAAATCCCAACTCCCAGAGATATCTTTCTTCATCTCGGCAAAAAGCAAGCTTAAACCCAAAATCGTTAATTATGCGACCATGGTGCAATTGATTGAGGAGCACATTGGTTTTATTGAACCCTTTGATAACTGTGACCCTCCAACAACCTCTCCTTATCTGGAGGGCACGTGCAACTCTGCAAGAAGTGATTTCAAATAAAGCAAGCCAAGTATTGGGGTATTCTTTAAACAAATGGTGAAAGCCTGCCCACATAAATCAATACTGTTTTAGGGGACAAAAAAATTCCTATGAAGCAGGTATATTGAATGTGAAATCCCCCCACAGTGAGATTCCTCTCTTCCTCTGGGCTGTAAATCTTGGCTCGTACAGAATGACAGGGTTGTATTTTTTAAGAGGATTATAAAGAGAATTTCCTAGCTAATTTGGGTATTTCCAGAACTATTTGAAGGATTTGTTCAGAACAACTCGAAAATTTTCCTCTGGAACATTTCAGGTTTTTTTTTTTTTTGCAGATTTTTTTTTTTTTTTTTTGTCAATTTCAAGACAGGTCAAGGAGAAAAAGAATGAAAATTCTGTCATGTTGAGAAAGAAAATGGCAGCTTGTTCTAAAATTCATTACAATTTCTTAAAGAAAATTGCTGCAATATGCATGTAACATGAGAAAATCCCGTGTAACACAGTTGCTTACATTCAGTGCAGTCAGGGTACTCTGATGCATTTTGTGTTTTTTCCTGGTAAAACCCTTCCCCCTTTCTCAAGTAACCCCCCCCCCCCACACACACACACACACGCACACACACACACACATTTCAATCCCTCTTTACATCACGAGTCTTGAGAAGCTGCCATCATATAGCATGTCACAAACGGTCAGTTGCAAATGTAGGCCAGGCCTTGCACTCACATGCAAAAATCCTTATATAAGTGCGATGGGAGAAAAAAAAATTGAGGCCGAAATATGGATAAACTGTCAGGTCCAATCACGCGGCCACATCCTCCGACTGTCTTCCCATGACATCATTATGATGTGGGTGCACTAGGGCTGGGCCCAGTGTTGTCAGGAACATCCATTCATTTTTCTGCCTTCTTCCGTCTCTCCCTTTCACAAGAGGCGTGTATGGTGGTTTTGTCAAAGGCGAGACCTTGATTTCATTCATTTCAGCTACTTGAGGACAAGAGCAGCGATGGAAAAAAAA